TAAATTAAAAATAAAAAATTTATTTTTAATAAATTTTTATTAAATTTTTTTAAATTTTAATAAATAGGGAGAAGAACCCACTCATAATCAGATAGTGTCGCTCCTAACGCTCGGCGGCGCTGGCCCAAACGGCTGTGGCGCGCGCGGTAAGGAGAGGAAAGGAGGCGTATACCGCGGAAATCAGCTGAAATATTCAACTAATTCCGAGTACTGAATTAAATAAGCAACAGAATTAAAATCAAACAAAATAAATTTACACAGGTAATTTAAACAATTAATATCGGTGGAGTACTTCAATTTTTTAGCATCGAGCCAGACTGTAATCTGTTTCGTAACATTGTGTGTAGTTCAACTTTTATTTTCTTTTATAAAATTTAAAAATTTGCATATTATTCAACAGTATTATTTAATTATATTTACTTTAACCATTTCTAGACTTTTAGATATATTTTGCTAACTTACGTTTCACATGATCTAGATGATAGCTAAGTGAATTCGTTTCGATTGCATTTGAAGCAGTATTAAAGAGAAAAGATTCCCGTTGTGTTTCGGCGATAAATAAATTCATTATGTTATAATCCACAGGAATCTAAAAAGTTTAAAATAATAAAATCACTATTTGGTTAAGATATTATATTTGAAATAATACACCACCGTTGATCGTTGCAAATAAACTTTTGTTTTTTATTGTAAAATGTATTGTTTATTAAATAGTTATTAAAGAAAGAAATTTAATGAATACAACGTAATTTGCTAACATTCATGTATATTAAACAGATCAAACTTTTAACAGATTTATTTATTTCAACGTGGAAAATTGATGTATGTATTTAGTCGTCGCTCTACGTTTAAAAGCTTTGAACAATATAAAAAGTTATTAACTATTATAATTAGTACTTTAAATAAATATTCCTATAATTTTTTCTGCTCTGGAGTTTCGAGGAAAGGTCATATGCTGTCATCATGTAGCAAATCTTTTCTTTTTACTTGTGTTATATGAATAATATAAAGTACGCAGTTTCTGCTACAAATTCATAACGACATGTGTTGCTACATGAATTTCTTTTTTTGACAATGATGAAAATCTAATCATATATTTGTATCAAATGTAAGATGAGAAATTATGTGCCCTCGGTGTCAAAAAGTAACATTTATGCATACATATATACAAATTATAGATCATCATCACTTGTTTTACAATGTAGGAATAATTATTACAATCAAGTTTGAGGATATAAGAGGGGAAGAGGCTCCGTGCTTAATTCTTTTCAGAAAAGTATAGGGATTGGATAGGGGATAAGGTTTTCTTGAAGCTGCAGAAAGAGAGAGGCAAAGCTCTTTTTCTGGCACGCGTTCAATTTACCCTGTTTAAATAAATAAATCTGCTAACAATAAAAGTTCGTTTTCTTAATATACTTGGTGTCGTAAAATTACGTCCTTTTCCGTAAACTTTTTATATTAATAACTTTTTAATAAATAACAAGTGACTAAAACTTTTTTCTTGTTCGATAAGAGCGTAAAGAGCCAACAGCCGGATGTTCGTGCAAAGGTTATCGTATATTAGTTTATTACCATTAAACATTTATATTAAAAACAAACGGATACGAATTCTCAATGATAAACATAATTTGAGTGTTTTTTTAAAGTTCTTAAGCAATCGGCAGGTAGGTTCCCCGAAATTAAATCTAATAAATTCAAAAAATAAAGAAAAACGCATCATATTGCTTGCGTGAATTAAAAATTATAGATGTATCAGGCTCTGATGATTGTTAAAATCAATCGGGGAACCTACCTGCCGATTGCTTAAGAACTTTAAAAAAACACTCAAATTATGTTTATCATTGAGAATTCGTATCCGTTTGTTTTTAATGTAAATGTTTAATGGTTATAAACTAATATACGATAACCTTTGCACGAACATCCGGCTGTTGGCTCTTTACGCTTCTATTGAATATTATTGATTTTAACAATCATCAGAGCTTGATACATCTATAATTTTTTCTTGTTACTCATTGTCAGAACAATTGGCATTGGTAACGTGTGACAAAGTCAAGACGATTGTAACTGTTTATGTAAATCTAAATGATTGCCATATGTGGTATATCAACTATAAGAATTTAAAACAACGCGATATAAGATATACCTGATATAAAATGTACGTTGCAAATAATGTAGTGAAACCTGTTTTCGACCATAGCAACACATCATTATACCAAACAGATACTATTTGATTTGTTATAAAATGTGCCACTTTCAATTTATGCCCAACGGAATCTGAATCTTCGACATGAATATCAGTTTCTCTGCAAAATGATTTCAAATATGAAAAATTCATGGACAATGTTTGCTGTAATTAAACAATTTATTAAACCTTTATATTGTAGATCAAATTATTACAAAGAAATTAAAAAGTTTTTTTTTAAATTGTTTTTTGCAATAATGAATTTAAAATTTCTTGTGTTAAGTCTCATAACAAATAGAAATAAAGTGACTTTTGACAATTATGAGGTAGTTGGTATTCATGTTTAATAACGTGATTTATTTTGCGTATAAAACAACGTAATAATAATTGTTTACTTACACAGTTACGAACAAACATTATTTCAAAAACTGAAAAAAAGATATTTTGTACATTTTGCATAAATAATTTCACGGATGAAAAAGAAAATTAGAATTTGGAGCACAAGTACTTCGATAAGTTCCGACAAAGTAACTGATATAGTAAGAGATTTTATAGCAGTTATGTTATTCGTGCAACTTAAAACACACAGTTAGTTTTCATACTTGTAAAACTGAAACTATACTAAAGTCTGATTTCACGTAAAGAATTATTATTTTAATTTCTGATTTGAACTAAAGGTTATAATATCTTCTTAATGTGACACAAGTAAAATTGTATAAATTTCGACTATTTCCTAATTTATATACATATATTGACATAAAAATATGAATATCTTCCAGTTTTAAACTTTTATTATTATTTTATTATTTGATAGTTTTATATCTTTTATTTAATAATAATTTTTGATGATTTTATTTTAGTTTTGAATATTACCTTTGTAAAATCAGTAAAGTTAATCCCCATATCATATTGTTATTGTGTTGAGTATCCCAGAATGCAACATAGTCCATTTTTGCTAATTTGTCCATATTATTTTCACGTTTCAAAAAATATAGAACTTTTTGGGCAATACATTTTGCTAATTTTAAACGGTTCGTTACATTTCTTCTACTCCAAAATGTGACATTTCCAACCGAAGTAGAAATGCTAGTGAATGTGGTTACCACAACCTTTAAATGTTGAATGGACATAACAGATTTCTTAAAATGTGTCCACATCATGTCATTGTCATTTTCTGTCGTTTGTATAAGCATATTTGATAAAGCTGTGTAATTTTTATGATGCTGAATGGAAATTTTGAAAACGGAATAAAGTTCTATCTCGTCCCAACATGGGAATAGTTGTCGAGCTGTCATTATATCAACACCTGTCGCTATTAACCTATCATTACATATTACATAATATAACAATATGCAAATATAAAATTTTATATATAATTATACATAAAGATCTCAAGAATAGATAAAAAAACATTGGGTTTTAAAAAAATTGAATCATAGTTTATAACATTGTACAGAATGTACCAATTTGATACATATTTCTACATCATAAAACCGACAAATTTGAAATGCAGTGATAAATTCATTTGAGTACTATTATGATTATTTAATGTAATACGCAATTCACGGAATGTCATCTGGTTTATAAATGTACTTAATAAATATATTTTGCAAAGAATATTAACAAAAATAAGCTTTATAATATAATTTTGTTTAAAGTACTTTTTTTAACTTACAGTTTGTTGTCCAGTGTTCTATTTGTGTATAAAGATTTATAAAAGTGTTTTTTGTTATTTTTTATGTCACATATATATGTCAGTATTAGAGTGTATATACCAGCCGGTAAATATTTTGAAACTTTTGGGTCCTTGGTAAAATGGATCATAAACATATTTAGTTCAGTATTAAATAAATATTTTGGAACGTGAACTTTTTTACTATGATGGGTGTCATACAAAACAATTTTTATTACAGCAAAAGTCACTAGATGCATAGATATATTTTCTGTTTCACGAGTAATATGTATAAGTATGCTACATTTTCCAATAACATAATTTGTTTTGTAGTCAAATATTATATTGACATTATAATGCAATGGTATTATGTAATCTGGTAAATGGTAACGACCTGTAGTGTCATTTTCGGTATTGATACCAGTGCAAAGTGCTATTGTAGCGATTAACATTATTTCGCCATTTGTTAAAAGCTTTCGGAATATTATATTCATTTTTCTTTATGTACAAAAAAATTGTCTGAAAAATGTATTCGTTGGCAGTAAAACATATACATTTGCAACACATAATTTTTAATTTAAATATAACAGAAAAGCACATAATAACGATTAGAATTTAGACTGGAAAGATATAGAAAAAAATCGTGATATACTAAAAGAAAAGTGTATCATGTTTTGGACTATAATTACATAGTACTACAATTATAGTTACGATACTCATTTTTATAAAAATCGTTAGTATAATGTTAACAATAATATTTTTATACGTATAGTATTGTCAAATATATAGCCAATTACACAAGGTGGTCCATTTTAATCAACCCACTAGAATATCTCAAGTCTTTATTTCAATTCAAACAATTTTAAAGGATCTTGACCTGATCTTGGGGGTCCCGTTTGGATACAAATTTTTTGCCAACAGTATCGATTGCCGACATCTTATTTGTTCACATTTTGTTTGCACACCAAAAATTATTACCTACAGTACGATTGCCTACAAAAAAGTTAAGAACCGAACGCACGATTGCAAACACATCATTATTTCGGACAAACTATATTGCACATAATATTATTGCCTACGGATTGATTGTATACCAGCTCTATAACGCACAAATAAAAGTTAAGAGACGAACGCACGTTTGCAAACTGGGCCTTCCTCCTGACCTTAACATTTTCTTAAAGTCAACCAAGATTACTATCTTCTTTCCCTTTAGTAACTGAGCAATTTTGATTAAAAACATTTTTGTCTTAAACTTAAAGATTTTAAGATATTTTAATAGATTGATTACAATGGACCAACCTGTAAAGTTATTATAGAACATTTAGAAAAATATTTGACGCCAAAAAGCGTCGTTGATTATGGTTACTGCTATTGTTCTTTTCTTTCAGTACAAGATAAAGTGAAAAAAAACATGGAAAAGTAAAATTCATAAAATTTGTCTGATGAATGTTTAGAAAGATAGTATAATAATATTGTATGTATGTATATACATAACTATGTATATACATGAGTAGTTTCACAGAGTGTTATAAAACATAATAAATATTTAAAAGTGCCTGTTAGAATATAGAAATAAAACAAAAACGATATTATAACTGAAAGTGTCACTAAGCCGAGAACCTTTAAAATAAAATAAAAAAAGGAACATAAAAATATCAAATTATTATGTTTCTAACCAGTTATGATATCTATTCTCTCAAATGCACGCAAGCAAGCTGCACGCGCACACACACAAGGTTAATTTTTACTTCGCAAAAAATGGTGATTAATCATTACACATGAAGAGACTCATACTGTACAACAGTGATGAGCAACGCGCGGTTCGCGGTCAGCATGCAGCTTTCCAGTTACTTACCTGCAGCCCTCCAAAACGTTGCACTTTATTTTGCTGAAGTGTAAAAATTTTAGCAAACATACTTTCCAATATTGAAAAGTTTGTTGATGAGAAACAGAGCCAAATATTTAATTAATTAAACACCAGCTACATATTTAATACCTCCCGATAAAAAAAATTTACATGTGTACATATGCCTTTGTATACATATATTAAAAATATAACTAATAAAAAGTAAATCAGATTAAAAGAAAAGTTTCATGGTCGAAATTAACGAATTCCACCCTATAAATTAAATTTTTTTATTGTAAAATATATTGAAGTATTTAATATTACGTTTGTTGCGGCCCGTATAGAATATTAGGTTTTTAATTTTGGCACACTGCAGAACAAAGATTGCTCATCACTGCTGTGCAAGATAAAAAATGTTAAAGTAAAAAGAAATTAGTGACACAGTTACTTTTTCAGAAAGAGATTTAAGAAAACAAAGTTGTATTTATCATGCTTTATAAATTTTCATATATTTTGAATTAAAAATATTTTGTTTCTGATCACTTACCTACATATATTAAAAGCGTTAATTAAAATTCCTTGCTACGTGAAAATTTACAATTTTGTAATAATAATACAGTTAACATCACCTTACACACAAATCGTGAATGCCGAAGCTATATAAATCAAACTGCGATTCAGTTAGCTCCAAGAAGTCTCTGAATACTAAGAAGCATATTCGTAACTGATATAATATATATGTTATGTCATGCAAACAGTTGCTAAGAGGTCACGCAACAGGAAAACATTTTACTAGTAGATAGAAGAGCGCGAAAATTAAGATTCATAATCAGTTAAATGTGCGTATATAAACCGAAATTGTACAGTTTGTAGTTACTGACAAAGACAATTGTTAAAATAAAATACTTATAAATATATAGAAGAATATTAATTTTGCGTGTAAAATTGTATTTGGTTATTATGCAGTCAGACATTTAAGATTGTAAATGTAATGGTACAAATTTGTACAATATATAGCAGTGAAATATGAAAGATTTACTAAATTGAAAATAAGTAATTGAATTTTAATCTAAATAATATTAATGTTTTATATTAATAGTTTTCACACTTTGTGAAAGCCATAAAATTATTTATAAGAAAAAATATTAAAATGCAAGAAACAAATTTCCTAATTATAAATTTGTAATAATTGCTATCATATCTGTTAAAAATTTTTATTAGATATGAGAATGACTATAACATTTGAGTCTAAGATATCATCTTGAAATATTTAATTTTAGGAAGTAGTAAACAATTTCAATTCAACCATTTTACTAAAAATGGAATGTAATTACTTTTCATTACCAACATAGCAGTATTATTTAGATGACTAAATATAAGGAAACCAATATATCAGGAATGTGTGAAAATGCATTTATGTTATTGTCGTTATTACGTAACATATCAAAAATTCTCTGTACGTTATCCCGACTTTTTTATTGCCGATTACTTGACTTCAGTTACATAGGTGTGTAAATTCTTCCTTCTTCTGCTTCCTGTATGATCAATTTTTACATTCGTCTGTCACAGTGACTCTTTTTCCGGCAGACGATAAATATTGACAGCATATGACATTACAATGCATTTTTTAATTCTCGAACTATGATTTTGGCAAGTTTTCAGATATACATTTTATTTTATTTTTCATTTTAATTTTTTTAGTCTTAATTTTTTATATCATGCAGCGTTTTTTACTTGCAGTTCAATTTTACTTCTTGACTAATTAACTAATTAACTAATTTTTTAAATATTTATTTAAAAAAATTTTGCACTAACAGCCTGCGACAGCTCTTAATGCTTTTCTGTTATATTATTTGATATTTATTATATAAGCCTTTCCATTATATGTCTTTTAAGAAAATCATTATATTTTGAGCTCAATCTAATTGTACATGTATTTTCTAAACTTTTAGTTCTTATAATAAAAATCATTTATTATATTACATCATACATTCTACTGTAATTATTGTGAGTTTTCTTTCTACACAGAATAACGGAATTGCGGTCAACGACATAAGATAATCTTGCACGATGTGTAATTAACTATTTATAAAAAAAGGAATCACTTGAATCATACAAGCGAGCTTCCAACAATCTAACTGCAAGTATTCTCAATCATAATATTGTATAAATAAAAAATTGTTTATTTTATTATTAAAAATAAAATATTGAATTTGTTACAAATTGCAAGATTAGAAGAAATTCGTGAAATTACAAAATAGTAAAATAAAAATTTAATATCTGTAATAAATTCAAAATTATCCAATACATACAACAAACACATAATCCAGAGTCAAAAGAAACATATTTCAAAATTGACAAGAAGTCTGAGGTTTCGGATGTTCTGCGGCTACTCATAATTTTAATTCCACGGCGTAGGACGATGGCGGCGACGACGCCGTTCCTGAATATATTGATAATCTCAGATAAAAAAACCATCCATTGTTTCCATTGATATGAGCACATAAGCATGGAATTTTTTTTGGCAAATATTTGAGAGGATTAATCGAACCCCGAACCGATAACGAGGATATTTAGGCGTGAAAAAAATCAGATCTACTCATCAATAAATACATTCAAAAGTTTATTTCTCAACTTAAGAAGCTTCTTTATTTTGTGCTCGGAAACTTACACCCTCGCTGGATAAAAACATATATTGAATAGTGACAGATTTGGCATTTTGTTTGTAATGATTTTCGTCACCGCGAATACGACACGTATATCTTCGTACAATTTACTTGAATGTGCAACAAGTATGTATATTTACGAGCAATTTTCGGCGTTACTAAAAAGATAATCCTTCAATCTTTAGGATACCGTTATCTACTTTCTACCCACCAGTATTATTGCCACCAAGAATAGCCATATACAAAATATCTTACAATTAGAATTTTCTATTTTCCGGATATCTAATACAGAGCACAACAGTTTGCGTTGTAAAATCAACGAATCTATTAACACGAATATCTTAATTTATATTAAGATAAATAATAATAATTTTCTATAATAGAATTTTAAAGATATTAATCTTGTACGTCTAGCATAGAATTAAATATCGACAAATTTTTAATTTTGTCAACTTGAATATTGTTTGAAAACTAGGTAGTTATTGCATCTGGCTTGGATATTCCAGACAGATATTGGGGTACCTACAGATCTGGTGTATATTTTGGTTTAAAAACAAGAGATCCACATTCTTTAGTAACTGGTTTGATGTGGTATTCTCCACATATTCTACGCTATGATGGAAGCGTACTTAGACACTGGTGTGATCAAGGTGATAAATTAGATAGGTACTGTATCTTCTTATCTTTAGTGATATAGATTTTGTCAGTGTAGCTAACCAATGTTTAAATGTCAGATATGCATGGCTGGAGCATGATGGACGAACGTTTGGTGTTCAGGAAATAGTAGATAAGTCCATAATTTTAAGAACGACATTTGTCAAAAGACCTGGTGGATATCATGGTGGTGATTGGACCGCAAGAATTGCAGTATCACAAAAGAAAGAAAACAGTAGAGAAGAGATATCATTGTTATTTTACACTGCTATCGAAGAAAGTACAAAAGGTTGGATAAAGGCTAATCTAGGGGACTATAATCGCTTAACAGGCATAGAAGGAAACACACAAGGATTGGGATCTTTTGCTATAAACCTAAATTTAATAAATGGCACTGTAGAGGATCATTCGTTTTTGGCAACAACTGCTTCTGGGTTAAATGTGTTGAAAGAAACTGTTTTGCAAAATCTTCGTATCGCAACCCAGAAGGGATCCGCGGAGAAACATATAGTTTTAGCCGGCGAACAATTACTATTATCGCCTGAAGGCAAGAAAAAGGATCCAAATTTCATCGTTACTCAAGTAACAGGAAAAGTTCCTTTCGAGATTGAAGTTAGTTACGAATCTGGCAGTTTTAGTAATAGAATAGACAAGTTAACAGGCCAGAACTATGACGAGGCTCTCGACAAGCAGAGGCAATTGTTCTCGAAGAAATTTGAAAATGTTTTTAAATTGAAATCAAAGGGATACACGGACGACGAAATGACGTTCGCAAAGATGGCATTCTCAAATCTCATAGGCTCGATAGGTTACTTTTACGGAACTTCGCAAGTGCAAAGTACGTATACACAGGGACCTGTGCCTTATTTATAATAAATTTATTAATTTTTTTATATCTTTATCGTATTTTATTTATTTCACATTGTCAACATTAGACTATTTTAATTCGAAAGATATTGTACTTGAATAATGTAAGATAATCTAATTTAGACTTATTTTACATTGTTTGACAAAAACATCACCGCATTTTAAAACAAGCCACTTTAGTGAAACTTTTCTTATGCCATGTTGATGAACAGGTAAAGAAATGATGAAAAATAACAAATATCTGGTCCAACAAAAATTTGCAGTCTAAGAAGGAATAATTAAATTAAATAAATATTATTTAAACTGACGAAAACTGATGAATTCATAGTTTGTGCTTTTTCTTGTATACTCATCTTTTCGTTTCTTTTTTTTTTTTCTAACAGCATCAATTAATCGCTTTTCTCTCAAATTAATTTTCAGTACCTATATTTTATGTACCTAAGACAAATTATTTCGACAATATCAATAAACCTATAATTTTTGCGCAGTTTATGAGTGCATTAATTGCTGCGTTAAAAGTAATCGGATCGGATATGTCATGTACAAAAAAATCAAATAAAAATAAGTTCAATATTAAGTAATAAAGAAATGAGTGTTATTTAAGTCTGAAAAATATACCTTAGCCAATTGTTCTACAACATGTTGGTGCGTAATAATAACAATTAATGTTGCAATTATGTCGGCTTGCCTGCGAAAAAGTAGAGTGATAAATACTATTATTCAAAAAAGCAATAAGCATAAAAAAGACGCAAGTGGATAAAAAAATATATATATATATATATAAATATAGAGATATAATTATAAAAAAAATTATTATTACGTGTTAGAGGTAAACATAAATGTAGTATTTTTGAGATTTTGCAATATAAAATCGCAAACTATATCGTTTCTTGCATGCCTCACAACGGTAAGAAGAAATATATGAGCACGGGTATTGTTGTGGTGTGATAAAAAATCATTAATCAAATTCACCAGCAAATAATTAGTAATAATTGTAGGATTTTCACTACAAGCTAAATATTCTAAAAATTGTATGTTATCAGGTGTTGCTGTCCATTTGCACCATACAGCGTCCCAAATGGACCTGTTCGCTGACATCAAACCATTACAATACATCCATCCTTTCCATTCCGATTGCGTTACAAAACTGCGTTACCAGAAAAAAGTATTTCGTACAAAAATTTAGCTCATTTTATGATAAAATAATTTATCTTGTACAGTATTTGATGTGTAGAATATAAGTATACATAAAGCAACAGAAATTGTTTATATACATAAATATTGTGGTTGTATTGTACAATATCTTACATGCGACTTTCAGAATATAGATCTCTTGTCATTTGCATATTGGCTACTTCTCTACATTCTTTGTTACCAATAATACATGCCCATTTTACGGCTTCCTCTCTTAAACATTCGATGAGATCACTCTGGTATGGTTTTGGCACGTCTCCTATTTGATACAGAACTCCACTCAATATTTTTTCCATCTTTTTCTAAAAATTGGTAAGTAGTATAAATTTTAATTTTATTAATATAATAAATTGTTATTTATAAAAGATATATATGTATATTTATACATATACACCATATTTATTTTAACTTTTTTTATATACAAAGCAATTCAAAAAAACCTGATGTTCTTGAAATATCGTATTCTTCAGCGATTTCGAAAACGATTTTTCCTCTCGCAAAGTTTTGTCCAAAACTTAGTTTTTGCTGCTATAATTGAAAATGGTTTACTCCTCACACTCACACACACTATGATTGTGAAGTATTACGTTACTCTTATGATGTGTTGAACAATCTCTGCCTGTCCGCTGTGTACGAGTAGGGAACTATTTTCACTTACATATATCTCTAAAACTAACCTATGAACAAACATTTGCTAAAGGAATAATTATCTTAATTATCGCTCAATATGACATTTTATGGACATTGTTTTGTATCACTCTGTGTAATAATGTTTTGATGCCATGTTTTTCATAGAAGCTTCCCGTTACCTACCTTCAGGGAATCAGTATTTTTAATTGAACCTATAACACTCATATGTTCAAAAGCTTTAAACATAGGATACCATGCCACATAATTTATTTCTCGTAATAAAAATTCAGAGATTTTCCAAAACACAATGTAATCAAGTTGTTTATGTGTGACGAAGTAAAACGCGTCATTTATGATTTGAGCTCGATTGAGAACATGTATGTTGACATATTTCACAGAATTCATATATTGCGCAAGTTGTAGCCAATTTGCAACATCATAATTAACACGATAATACCCTATTATAAAAAAGAGCTTTCATTATTAAAGTCTCTTGATAGATTTTATTAAAAATAATTTTAAATAATTTTTATTGTTTTTTTTTTTTGAGACACATTTTTTTAAATTATTTATTTTTTAATAAAATATTTTACATTTGGTGTGAAAATAGTGTAGGAATGATTATCGCGTGAAAATGTTTGTTGTAAGCATGAATGACACACACACTTGCCAGTATGCGAGTGCATGTGTCAGAAGCATCAGGGTGTGTAAGTTTAAAAAAGCAAAAAAGATACGAAGATAAAATATTGTGGGTTCCGAATATTTCCGCGCTGACCGATAGAAAATTGTCACGCCTAAAAACTCTAGCTTTTTGTTATTATTTTGAGAGTAGGTGCGAGGCGTCGCCCGAGCAGTGGGAAAAGAGTCAGTGGAGAAAAGCAGTTGAAAGCGAACGATTGTACACCGCCTTACTTGTTTCATTTTAATACATCTTGAATAAATCATATTCTTCCTACAATATAGTAAAGTTATTGTCTAACATTTACCTGTTTGTTGTAAATTGACTATAATTCAATCATTTTCATCAAACTTTTGCACTAATTTTTCCGGTTTTTGCGGTGATAACCAGAATTTATTGGCAAAAATGTCGTGAAAGTTCATTTTTGATTTTGTCGTATATGTCACGAATGCTGAAAGATGTTCTGTATCCTCGTCAAAATCGAAAGTGAGATACTGGAATATTATCTCGTTAGTCATATCATTTCGTGTCACGTACAGAATAGGATAATATTTTTCCTCTATCCAAACAGATATAAGTCTTTTTACAATAAATGTGATTGAGTTATTTGGTATAATAGTTTGCATCATGTTCCATAAATCATTTGTTTGATTATATCTATAAAATGGAAAATTTTTGTAAAAGCATACATTGTGCGAATTTTTAGCAAAAATTTTTTAAAAAATATCCATCAACGCACAACCAACCGTTCGAAAACACTCTACACCTGAAGGCACACGATATCCCCACTACTTCTCCACTGAAAATTATCACACTACACAGAGTGTGAGGTTTCCGAACGTAGCCCTAATGAAGTAAGTCGTAGGGTCGTATTTATGGCAGGCGCGGGATGACGCAAATTTTTATTTTTCCGAATTGAGAAAATCCAAACCGGGTTTGAACCTGGATCGCTGGGTTTCTAGTCCTGGTCCTAGTCCGCATGGCTACCTATAGATCTAATGAAGTAAGTCGTAGAGTCGTATTTATAGCTATGGGGCCTGGCAGGTATGGGGCCTGGCAGATATGGGGCATCAAAACAAATGACGTCACGCAGTCGCCTCACGAAGGGTCGTATTTATGGCGGGGGCCGCGTCTATATGAGGTACCCCGGACTCTCTGGCAGGTATGGGGGCGTCAAAGCAAACGACGTCACACAGTCGCCTCGCGAAGGGGTCGTATTTATGGAGGGGCCGCGTCTATATGAGGTATCCCGGACTCTCTGGCAGGTATGGGGCATCAAAACAAACGACGTCACACAGTCGCCTTTAGTCCGTGAAGGGACGGAGCGTATTTATGGTGGGGCCGCGTCTATATGAGGTATTCCGGACTCTCTGGCAGGTATGGGAAATGTAAACAAACATCGCCAAGATGTCGGGCGGGGGATGATAGAACTACGGCCAAGAGATCTGTGAGCGGGCAAGTATAGGAGAACAAAAGAACGACGTCACGGAGTCAAACGGTGGATTCTAGTCTGCTAGACCAATATTCGACGAGATAGAGTGACGACTAAGGGAGTGCAAACGGTATAGAGCGCGCGCCGGGCACGTATAGCGAACAAAAGAACGACGTCGCAGCGACGAATGATCAGATGCCTTTTAGTCTGATATTCGGCATGTTGGTTAAGGGTGCAGCGATATCGCGTGAACGGAGTGAGCGTCAGCCACCCGTTTTCGCGGATTGAGCGCGCTGTATGGATTGAGGATGGCGAGTGCAGGAACATGCAAAAAGAGGAAGAAAACAAACACGAGAAATGGAATACAAAATCGTTTATTTAAAATTTTTCTTAAGAATACATAATTGTACTGACAAAATAAAGTTTATACATTTTATGATTTTTAATAGAATCAAATTTAATTATAAATTATAAAAGTATACATTAATGAATGAATTACAATTTTTGTTGAAATCTAATTATATGTACAATTTGATCGAAGTAAAGAGCGATTAATTCTAAAAATACAATTTCAAATTGATCGTCGAGAAATGTTAAATCTTTTAGTTGCGTACGTACATTAGTTTGTATTTCGTGACAATTAGATTTGAACGCGAGTTTTATAATATCGTTTTCGATATAGCTCACAATAGGTAGTCTTATTTGTATTTTATTAATAAGATATTTAGCGCAATCATTGGCACTAGTGGTGATTATATTCAGTCGATTCACAAATTAGCGTTTACACATTCGAGTATATTTTCTAGTCCCAGAAAACTAGCTCTCTGCATTGCTATAGCGAGCGAATAAGTCCGGCGTTTCTTCGGCGCATGAATTTTTTCTTTAGTCGTGGTATTTTCCAAAGGTTGAACTTTTTGTCCGTTTTCTCGATATGTCAATAACAAAGCTCTTGCTCCATAAGCAGTGGTGAAATTTATAATTATCTTGTTGATAATAATCGAGTTTACCGTAATACTATTTCCATTTAAGTAATCCGACATTTGCTTCATATTTTCTTGAAATTTTTGCCAT